CACAGCCCGGTCCCCCGTTCACAGCCCGGTCCCCCGTTCACAGCCCGGCCGCCCTCTCACACCCCGGTCCCCCGTTCACTTCCCGGGCCATCCCCCCGCCCAAATCACAGGCCGACTCCTCCGGTGATCCCCCCGACCCCCCTCACACCCCGCCGGGTGGGACCGCTGCCCGCTCCAGCGATTTAAAAATGGCGCCTCTCACCTCCCGCCCGCGCCGTCGCCCTCCGGGGGCCCGCGGGGCGCGGGGCACCCTGGGAGCGTTGCCGGGGAGACGGGTCATGGCGGGCTGGGCCCTCACAGCGCGGGGAGCGCTGACTCGCTCCGCGGGCACCGGTTTTTGTCAGAAAGCGGCTGCTACTAGCAGCTGAAATGCTCTAAACACGATCTGCTCGTAGACATCCTCAATTTCGGTCTAAAGTCTGTTCGAAGCAGGAGGTTGAACGTCCAGATCGGTGTTGACATTCCCCGATAAAGTTAACAATGCTTTAATAAGAATTAAAATTGTTTTCAATTAGTATATTAGAAGGTGGGTATTGCTGATGACACACACACATCCCCAAGGAAGAAGTGAGGGGGGGGGGAACCAACCAAACCCCAAATGTCATGTCTGCCAGCAATTGGAGATTACAGCTGCAGTCAGCTCCCCCAGGGGTGGTTGTAAGCTCCGTTAATAAAGTGCCTAAAACACATTACAGTCACTTCCACAGTTACAATGGCAAGAGTTCAGTGCTTGCTTCACTGTCAGCTTGACTGTGCAGACTGATGTTGCTGTGCCATTTCATGTGTATATTGTGTTTGTTGCCATGTTGGAGATGAAATAACAGCAGTGTTCTATCTATACCATTGTACACCTACAATGAAATAAATAGCACTACAGAAAACTACAATTAAGTAAAATTTAATTTTTATTAAAAACACATTCTGTTGAAAACGATGAAAAGTCATACTTCTAAATTCTAAGCCTTACAATGCAAAAAAATCTTTCTAAAAAGTATTATGAAGATGCATGGTCATTTTCTGTATCCAATTTGCTCATTTTATTTTTCTTTCACTATCAGCTCTACAAATATTAATGCTAACTAAGGTAAAATAGTAAAATAGAAGTCTTTCTCCCACGTACGGCTGCATCAGCGGGAGTGGTAAATTGCATAGATTCTTTCTTTAGTTCTATTATTGTTTGTTCATATCAGAATTATATAGCTGTGATCTATTGGAGAACAATTAATTTACATGAGAATCATGCTAAGTCACTCACTGTGAACTCTGTGGACATAGCAAAAAAATTACAAAATCTAAAATCAACAGACAGGGTTGGGTGCCTCTTGCCAGCTAATTTATGGAACAATTATTGTGTAAATATTTCCAATCTGTAATCTTTTGCTAAGAGGATGACTCAAGATGGTGCAAATATGGTTACTTTATTTTTGCCTCCATGTTTTTTTACACTGATCAGAAAAGGGTACTTGTTTCCTTCCAAGACCCACTGAGTCAGGTAATTCTAGTTACTCACTCAATAGCCATCAATCTTGAAGTACAGGTGGTAATGATGCTCTTCTTTGTCACAGTGGCCCTCTCTCTCCATGTCTCATAGCAGTGTGAGCAGCAGTGCTAAAAACCTGCTCCTACCTCTGCTTGCTTTAAAAGTAGAGCTGCTGCAGTGACTCAGATGGGCTTGACCTGGGAATCTTGCAGAGTATAAGGAAAGAGAGAAAAAAAGGAAGAGTCAAGTTCAAGGGCACAAGGAGGAAAAAGCTGAAGGAAGGAGGAATAAAAAGTGGAGTTTATAGGAATGGGAGTGGGGCTTATGGACATAGCAGAGAGAGAAGAGGCCAAAAGATAATCAAGAGGTGAACCTCAAACATCTCTCACAATACAGAGGAGTTTTTTGTAAAAATAGAAATTAATGCAGCTACAGATGTCAGTAATTTATTTTTTAAAAAGAGTAAGGTCTCTTTAAGGGATACTTTAAATTAATTCTGGCTCAAGTAAAAGTAAAGAGATTTCATTTAGAGACCTCACAGTTTTTGATCAACAGTATTAAAGATTGTGTCTCTTTATATGTCACATTCTATTACATCTGGGTAGATCAACATTTCATAGAGCAGCAAGGTTCATCCTCACACAAAGAAAAGCAATATATAAAGAGATGTAAAGTATGTATAGAAGCCCAGGAAAATATTTCAATGCATTTTGCAGATACACTCTTTGGAGGAAGATACTGTGTAAGCATGGTCAGGAAAAGTCTTGAGTTTGAAAGCTCATTCAGGCTTCCTTGCTGCCTCAGTTGAGCAAGCTGAAAATAGTTGCTAGATTAGATAAATCCTCAAGCTCCTGTAGCCCAGTGGCATATCTTCAGAGAAGGTTTTGTCATGTATACATGCTGCTGGTTGTACCTGCAGTTTAATCCATGCTTAGTGTATGTCACCTTGACCTGAATCCAACCTGAAGGATAGAGGCTAAGTGGGGAATTAATGTTGGGACTACAAGCTCATTTCAGCACAAGTCAGCACAGCCTGAAACCATCCAAAGAGTTTCATTGTCCCATACAATTGTGGCAGAGATGTCTGTGGCTAAGTAGTGTGCTATTTGTGGTAGACAGTTAAAACCATACGTTGTTTTGTGTAAATTGCCTGAGAAAATTAATATTTTTTGCATTCCAAAGTCAAAAAATGGAATTGCTTTTACGTGCCATAGTGCTGTGGTGAGAGTCTTCCCCAGTTAGAGGGCTTTTTACTGTTAAGCTCAGTAGGGTCAGAATGCAATTTTTAGTGCAAAGAACATCGGTAGATAAAAAAGCATAAGGCAATTTACAAAGCCATTATTCAGACAAATATGTTGTATGGGACTGCTGACCACACAGGCATTGTGTTCTCTACTTTTCTCTTCAGCATGTACATACAGTATCTCATGCTGATCTTCTGTGTCTTTCCTTTTTCATCATGAGTCTGTGACTAGGGCGGGGGAAAGGATGTTTCTCTGCCAGGTACCAACTCATTAAAATGGTATTCAATGGAAAAATATATAGAGAATTTATTGGGCTACAAGGATATTTCACATTTATATATATTGTTCTCATATATGAGTCTTCAGTCCTGACTGGGCTTTCATTTCCATTAAATTGATTCCATTCTAGCCACACCAACTAAAGAGTTTTTCCAAATTTATGCACACACAGATGGGTAGAACCACACACTCACCAACTGAAGGGTTAACATGGTGAAATGCAAGTTCAGTTCCTAAAGTTTCTGTCAAAAGCATGTCGGTGCTTCTTTCTGCAGCTCAGCAGCGTCCAGCTTTAAGCTTGTCCTAAGACGGTATCAGAGAATCATAGAATATGCTGAGTTGAAAAGGACCCATTGGGATCATGGAGTCCAATTCCTGGCTCTGTGTAGGATAATCCAGGAATCATATCATGTGTTGTCCAAACACTTAAACTTTGTCAGGCTTGCTTGGTGCTGTGACCACTTCATGGGGAGGCCTGTTCAAGGGCTCAACCACCCTCTGGGTGAAAAACCTTTTCCTGATACCTAACTCCCCTGACTCAGCTTCATGCCATTTCCTCGAGTCCTGTCACCGGTCACCAGAGTGAAGAGATCAGAACTTGGCCTCCGCTTCCCCTCCTGAGGATTTTGAAGACACAGTGAGGTCTCCCATCAGTCTCTTCTTTTCTACGCTGAACAAATCAAGTGACTTTAGCCACTTCTCATAAGGCTTCCCCTCCAGACCTCTCGCCATCCTCATGGCCCTCCTTTGGATGCACTCTAATTGCTTAATGTCTTTTTTATATTGTGGTGCCCAAAACTGCACACAGTATTCAATATGAGAGGCTGCACCAATGCAGAACAGAGCAGGACAATCACCTCCCTTGACCAGCTGGCAATGCTGTGCTTAACAGGATACAGGACAGAGTTGGCCCTCCTGGCTTGTCAGGGCACTGCTGACTCATATTCAAGTTGCCATCAACCAGGACCCCCAGGTTCCCTTCCACAGCACTGCTTTCCAGCATCTCATTCCCCAGTCTATACACATAACCAGGGCTGCCCCATCCCAAGTGCAGAATGTGCCACTCGTCCTTGTTGAACTTCACCTGGTTGGTGATTGCCCAGTCCTCTTATTTGCTGAGGTCTCCCTGCAGGGTCTCTCTGACCTCGAGGGAGTGAACAGCTCCTCCCAGTGTAGTGTCATCAGCAAAGTTACTAAGTATCCCTTCCAGTCCCACCTCCAAGTTGTTAAGAAAGATGTTAAAGAGAACTATGCCAAGGATGGAGCCTTGTGGAACCCCATTAGTGACTGGACACCAGCCTCTCCAGTAGTTTAGCCTCCCTGCTTTACTTCTGTCTGAATCTGGTAGGCTGCACATAAAAGGTGACATAACATTGATCCACTAAGCAAGCCCACAAAACTAAAGAGTCATCACTTAAGTCCACAGTCCAAACAGGAATTGAGGAGGACACCACACAGAAATTTCTCCTTTCAACTACTTCAATGCAGTGCTAGTTGCCATGGGAGGCAGAACCTGCTGTTTACTGCTGTACCTTCCACAGCAGCACAGAGAAATAAGCACACGTGCATTCAGGAATCATTTATCACTAAGTTTATAAACTGCAGTGCCTGAACCAGCTAGTTCAAAGTCGGTTTGGGTGTTGCAAAACAAGTCACAGCGTAATAGCAGATGAAGTCTTTGGTTATTGGAGTTATTTGGGGCACCAACATGAAGTATTTTCAGAGTACACTGCTGGTTAAGGCTTATTTGTCTCATCCAGTGATTGCTAACACTGTGCAGTGACCAGTTCTTGGCAACACTCCTCTTTCTGTGCTAAGTTAAACAGCACTGTTCTGTTTTACCCTTTGCCTTTCTATTTTTGGGTGCTAAAAGAGTTACCAGGGTGTGTTATGCACGTTCCAAAGCCAGAGTTTTGAACAACTCAGAGAATTGATGATAAGTGAGGTGCATTTTTTTATGTCTGGTTTGCCAGCATCAGCAGGGATTATTCAACCCATGCCAGAAGTGGGCAAAAAGCTATTAGCAGTTGTGAGGGACCCTGGTGTTTGTGAATGCAGTTAGCCTTATCATAGAACGAATTCCAGGCAGCCATGTAAAACCCAGCATGACGAGACCTTGGAAAGCCTGCAGGTGACATGGGAGTGCCTGTACACCATTTCTTCAAATAGGAGAAAACAGGAAATACTGTGTGACTGCAAAGTTACTGTTAATGGCACAGTTTCTGCTCTGTTCTTGGAATTAAAATAACATCATTCCCGATGGCTGCCGGTGCCAGCTGATGAGACCCCTACTTTATGAAAAATAAATGCAAATGTTTTGCTTTATGTCAGCTATGTTAAGTTGCATTTTTGGCACTTGCGACCAAGATTTCTGACAATAACATAAAAATACATCTTAGGTTTCTAATTCAGTTTAAAAAAAAACTGTGCAACTGTGAGTGCAACTGTTTGGCACAATAGCGTGACATTTGCATAGCATGTTCACATAAGCTCTGGAGAAAAGCAATGATGAAACCTAATTCAGTTTTGCTATGTCACAGCTATAAATGAAACTCAAATTATCAGGTTTTGGTCAAAACTGCAGGAGAGCAGAATGCTCAGTTTAATAATTTTAAAGCTGGGCCTTGTGCTTAATGGATTAGCTTTGCCACTGTCAACTGAATAATTTGTTACTGAGAAAGGAAAACTGATAGGGGTTTGAGTGTTCAGACACTAAGTTCAAGAGATGATATTCATAATCAAATAAATGTAAATATTTTTATTTTAAAAAATGTTAATGGCACCTTAGAGGCAGTCATGACTACACAACCAAATATACAAAAATTACATTTTTGTAATTGCATCTTTCCACAGTGCTGCACAAAATGGAAATAACATGAGAAACATTGCAGGTGACACACTGAGACAATTAATTTTAGTCAATAAAAGCAGATAGTTTTTGGTACACCTTGATTCTACCAGACCCAGATTCCCTGGGTAAAAAGGAAAGGTGACTTTGTGCAAAACTTCCCACAACAGTACAACTTAATATGCTAAACATACAGCAAATCAACCGTACAAGACAGTTTGACTAGGCCTCATGCAGTCTTTATATACAGCATCATCTCGGCTTTTTCAGGGAAAATAAGCAATTCCACTGACTAAAACAAAACTTTTCTTAGTCTTTCACTGTTGTAATGTAAAATTGTCTGATTCTTTGTGCAGGATTCTACTTAGGATCAGAGAGACCATTCCAACTTTATCTGAAAACAAGTCCTTTATAATCTCTTGTACTTTAAAGGGAAGTAATATAATTAATTAAGGCCATGTTCTGGCATGATGGTAAATGAAGAAAGCAGATAAATATTTGCTTGATTAAAAAAAAAAAGAGGAGAATAAATTTGCCAGATTGCTAGTCCTGGATGGACTTTTGGAAGTGATTAAATTTTGTTATCTAAATTAAAGTGTTTAATTACAATAATCTGTATTTACCTTCTGTTGTACCATTGAATATGGAAGTAAAATGTCTTTATCACGTCAGAAAGGGACTCGGTTTCCCAAAATAAAAAGAAAAGCAAATTAAAAAAAGTTGGGTTTCATACCACCTAAATGAACCTCAAGGTTCTGTGTTTTCTTTTTTTTCCCCAAATTTCTTCTTCATTGATTTTGATTCCAGAAAGCACTACCTGTGATTATGTAGTTAACATTGTATCAAACATAAGCCTGAATTGATACCTTTTTGAACAGCCGCATTCAACTTTAAGTGTTAAAATACTTGTTTATTATGTTGTTCAGTAGCTAATAATTAGTTTGTAATCCTTATGATTACAAAACTGAAGCTTATGCTTACAGTGGATTTGTCTAGCTTCAGTTCTAGTCAGTGTATCATGTATCTTTTCTACAGCAAATTGTATTCATCTATTGAATTTCTATTCCCCAGATAAGCAATTATGATTTGTTCAAAGAAAACCACTGGCTTTTAAATATCCATATATCGGATCTATATGTGATGGTCCTGCAGCAGAGGCACTGCATAACACAAGCATTTTAATATTAAACTAAAATGCAGTGAGATTTTATAGTGGCTTTATAAGAATTCAGAACAAGTAGATATCACATCACAAGAGTGCAATAAAATAAGAAGTTGCATGAATGCATATAATGTAAAGCAGAACGGCAAAGAAATTTAAACTGAGTCTCATTCAACAATAACAGAGCTGAAGCTAGTTGAAGCTAGCAGAGGGATCCATTCGACAAGTTTTAGAGAAAGCCTCATTTAGTGCTGAAAGCTGAAATGGGAGAAATCAGGAAAATTGTGCTAACTTTCCTAAGAAATTAATCTCCAGAACCCTCTGAGCAAAAAGCTGCCAACAGCCTACTGAACAGTATGAACAACTAATTGAAGGGCTTTTCCATCAGAGAACTACTGTCAAAGTGAAGTGAAATAACTGACTACCAGACAGCACCAAGCAAAAAAGACAATGCCTGGCAACTTTTTGTTGAGTAGGAGTGTTTTAGAGGCTCATGATGAGCAGGTGTAAAGAATATCCTAAGAATGTCTAACGTGTTGTGTGAGAACATAAAAGCAAATTGTATCCTGACAGAACATGGTTAATTCATTGAGAAGCTGAACAGAGTTCTCCTTAAGAGGTCTTGCAATTCTCTGGATTGGCCTAGGAATACTTTCATGGTAAGCAGAGCTGACTGCAGGCCAGATATGTACACTCACATAATCCCAGTCTAGAGGGGGGAAGTGATCCCAGTACTGAAGATAATGGCACAGGCACCAGCCTGCTCTTGATCCTGCTCTTGATCTAACAGCTTGCTAGCCTGTCCCACCACATCCTGGTAGTGTTTGTGTCTGTTCCCTGTAGGAAAAAGCTAGGAAGAACTTTTCTACACTGAAGCTGTCCGGTTTTAAGGGCAGCTAATGATTCACTGCAGCAAGAAAGAAAAAGCCTCATCTCCCTTTTTGTCCTTGCTTCATACTCATGAGACCTTTCTACCAGCCCTTTAATATCTAGATGTGCAGAACCATACACCTCTTAACGCCAAGTTTTTCTTCCAGTCTAGTGAACTAACATGGCATATGGAAGACTTCACCACACACCAGTGTTAGCACAAGGTAGAAAATGGAGGGGTGATGGCAGAAGGGGAGACCCCTCTCCCCTTGGGTGGCTTCCACTTGGCAGAGTTCCTGGCACTGTAGCCTTACTCTGTGCAAAACTATAGCAGTTTCACTCAAAAGAAAGCTTTTGCCCTTCACTATTTTATTATTTACTTGATGTGTGCCACATCCTCCAGTGATTTAAATCCAGCAGGGAAAATAGAGAATTGATGTGCCCATTCGCCAATTAGGGTTGTTTTAATTTGCATAACTAACATTATGCAGTCTTTTTATCTTTTTCTGTGTCCTCTGCCAGATGTAAAGTTAATATGGAAATGCAAGATCTTCCTGTTCCTAATTTGAACACAGATGCTATCAAGATAGTGACCAATCTTTTGTAGAGCCATCGATTTTACATTCTACCCTCATTTTGCACTGAGGTTGTCTTCCAGAATTGCAATAGGATGCCCTTGGAGCAGAGGCCTTCATGGTCCCAGGTTGTACGATACCAGCTTCCCTTGTTATAAGAAAAACACACCTGACCTTGAGACTACCTGATGTAACACTTAACTACATAAACTAGCACTGGGAGGATTATCTCTTTAAACAAATAATCATGCAACAGGCAAAGGAGTTTTTCTTACATACACATTATTAACAGGTGGCATTCCTTTCTTGCACATCTAACCTTCTGAACTCATTTAACAAAACGCTAAACAAACTGTTTTCTCAAGAGGCCAAAACAGAAGGTAGCTGTGCAAGCTGAACATAAGAATGAAGATTATAATAAATATGGCAAGAAAACAGCATGAAGCATCACTGCATTCTTAGGATCAGAACTAGGATTCTTTTTGTTTGTTTTTGGTAATGGATGTATAATCATGTGACTAGGGAAATGAGGGAGCGGGAGAGTCATAGGGCTGATTAGTAAAATGGGTGGTGGAGTTTAGGAAAAGACTTCAGAAAGGAAAGGGCTCTGAATAGAACTACATTCACTAGCTAAAGAAATGGGGGGAAAAAAGGAAAAAAAACCCATTATATCATTATATGCCTTCTCAAAATGAAGACAGGACCACAATGTAAGAAAACCATGGGAAAAACCAAGAGGATCTGAGGATACATCAAAAGAAAACAAAAACCTACCAAGGAAAACCTTTTCTTGTGATGTAAAAGTCAGGAAAAAGCTGCTGCTTTTTTAATTTTTCTAACATTGTGGAAGGGACTTTCCTGGGAAGATAAGTTCATGAGTTGCCTCAGCGGAAGCAGTGCCCTCAGTCTATTTGCTGGCTGTAAAAGGAGGCCAAGTACAGCTACTTGGAAGGTGGGGGTGAATGCCTGTTGCAATGCATGCAATACAGTGACAAAATGGGTTAAGAGACATGGGAAGAAAGGTCTCCCTGAACTGAACAGCAGCAGGAGCACATGTAGCAAGGAAGGCAGAAAAGTTTTCTGCATAGCACAATACATCTTTCCTTCTTTACGGGATACCAGGAATACAGGGGTAAAGAGAAAAAAAAAATGAAAAGAATAATGTATCTATATAATCATTATTCCTGACACAGTCAGGGATAAACCAATTGGCAAGTCTGGGCTCTTAAAAGTCATATTTCTCTCAGCAGGACTTTTGCCTCCACCATGCTCTGAGACGAGGTAGGGCTGGGTGTAGGATAACACGGGTGTGCCTGACCTGATCCAGTTCCGGCGCCTGCAAACCAGCACAGTCCTTCCTGAATTCTCTGTTTGAAGATGTAGCACATATAAAGAATTCTTTAAAATTTTTTTAAAGTGTTTTAATTGAATTTTCTAATTGCTGAGTCATATTATTATTTATGAAGTTAATTCTGTCCTTTCTTCAGTTCCTGAAACCACAAAAAGTAACTATTCACTGTTAATACAATCATGGTAAAATGTCAAAGTTCTTCCCCTGCCTCTCCCTCCCCCACTCCCTTTCCTCAGAATAAGGTCCTCACAACTTCTACACCACGTATTGCACTTGATTAAAAACAAATACACACACCAAGCCTCTCCCTCCCTCCTGTAATACCAGCATAGAAAATACTGCAACTGAAAAGAAAATCTGTCATGACAATTATTTTCACAGTTAGTAACACTGAACATCAAATAACTGGAGACACTATCTTTTCATTTAATGGAGAGTGGAGAAGAATTGTTGTTGTGGTGGTTTGTTTCGTGGTGGTTTTTGTTTGTTTGTTTTTAATAAAGATCTTGTTTTACACCATGGCTGAAAGCCAAGCAGATTTCAGGGAAATTTTTTTGCAGTTCTTAAATCAAGCAAAATAAATTCCAGTGAGAAAACAAACCCAACCCTGTCTCCTAGTAGTAGTACTGCATGTTAATACATTATTTTCAGGAATGTTTGTCAAGAGAGTCTGCAGTTTGTATATTTACAGAAGTTTAACTCCCTGCTCCCCTAAGAAGCGTTTCACTCAGGTTTCTGCCACATTCTTTAATCTGACACAAGAAAGAAATCCACTGTACCCAGAGTCCCGCCACCTATATGCTTTGCATCGAGTTAGAACACCCCAACAACTCAGTGCTAACAAAGGCTAACCTCAGTGATGCCTTTCCATGTACTTCTTTCCCCCTGCCGGTTACAAGGGTTGAAGTAAGTGCATTGGTCTGGATGACAATCACCAGCTACTTGCTTCTTTACTCCTTTACAAAGTGGTCTGGGGATCTTATCATTCCATTCAGTCCATCTTTGGAAGTCTTATGCCACATGTATGTGTTTCCCAAATGTGATAAGGAACAGTGCCAGAATGAACAACTGCTAACTGTGGTCATTAGTCATCATTGGTCTAAATTTACAAACAATAAACTCTGTGCAAAAAGTTACTAGCAGAAGCATCGAGTTTCATTGGTCCTGAAAACTAGAAACTCCATATACAGATACTCATTAATTTAGAATCAAGAACTAGTAATACATATGACAGCACAATTTGGCTTGTTACTCCAGTTGGATTCAGAGAGAAATTAACTTATGAGTCTAACAGGGCTGATACACATTATGGTACTCCCTCCTGTCACACTCTTTGCACTCCAGCCTAGTAAAAAGCACAGCTGACACTTGCAGTTGCTGGGATTCCTCCCAGACCATCATACCGTCTTTTGTGGGTGTGGGTTTGTAAAGTGGACAACGTTTTGGATTAAGGCAGAAGACTGACTTAAGTGAGCAGTTCATCACAGACATAGCCAGTTAGACAAAATCAGATTGAACAACTGACTGCCAACGAATATGCTTTTATGCATTTACACCAGAATTTGTATACACACAGTGCTTAAAAAACAGGGAGGGGAAGAAAATGAAAAAAAAAAAAAAAAGAAAAAAGAAAAAAAAAGTCCAATGGCTTCATCTTGGTATAATCATCCTTTCTATGGCACAAATTATATGATCCCAGTTTTTACAAAATATTGCCAGCAGTGTCACTGCGAAAAAAGTGCAGATGATATGAAAGCGGCTCTTCATCATAGGAGCAATGAACTTTGCAATAGTAGAAACACACACTAAGATGACAGTCATGAAGGCCAGGATAACATTTATACATTTCCCCAGGAGCACTTTGGCATTAACTGTTTCAGACTGCTGTGCTTGCTGTTCCTGCTGATGGAGCTCCAGTTTGGACACCCGGGTCTGGCATGATTCCAAGGCTTCCTGGAGACAGAAAACAAGAATTAGGGCAGCTGTATTTCCATTCAACACTTCTTCATGTTTTAGCTGCTGAGCCATCCATCAGCTAGATTAGACGTGTAATTTATTATACACTGCTAAAATTTCAGTGAACCATGAACTTTTTAAAAAAAGTGCACATGTATATCTACATGAATGTATCACTGCCTGCTCAGGCATAATCAAGTCTAACAACACTGGCCACAAAGTAGTTTTTACTTTTTTCATGCTTGAGAAAAAGCATCATAACTCTAATGTTCATGACAGATGTTTGCTGTATATACTGATGAGATAAAGTACTGAGAAAGCTGTTGCCATAGCAACTATCACTGCGTTAGAACAGCAACAAAATTAGTTTCTTTCTATATACTATAGAAAACATTAGGGTGGGCTTGCTGCAATACTAATTAAATCTCCTTTGCAACATGTAGTATTTGTTTTACATAACCTCTATGGTCTACATTTTTTTTCTCTCAAAGCCACCTGTTGCACAATGTGGGCTTGAGTCCTCTGTAAGATCTGGCCTTCTCCCTCTATCAGTGTGAAGGCTCATTGATCCATACCCCAACTGGGCAGGGGAGACAGTGGAGAAACCTGCAATGGTGCTTTTATGGGATTCTCTTTCATATGATCTATTCCTCTTTACAATTTGTTCTAAAGGGAGCAGACCTTTAACTTCTTCTTGAGGATGGACTAAAAGTGGTCTTTGAGTAAAATGCTTTCTAAGGCACTAACCCCACACTTCAGCCCTCCCAAAGTGAAACACAGAAAAATTTCCAACTGCTTCACTTATTTGCCAAAATGCCACTTCTTGCTGGAGCTGGGATTTGGGCACCACTATGTAACATGGTGGAAGGCTATAATTTAATGAGATTGATCAATGTGACATAACCTTTTACTGCTGCGTAAAAGGGAAAACTGATGTTCCAGCATCCCTACTTCCTTCCCCACTCTCAAACTCCAAACATTTTCCTTGCACTGGCAGGGGCGTTCACCTGATCACACAGTAAGCTGTTTCAACCCAAACCTCTGTGTATAAACACACAGAGAGTTATTAACTCTGTCTTGCTGGGTCAGTTCTCTTATTTTAGCAAGTTGAACTGGCTTACCATGTGACCAGCCAGGCGCCAAGGTCATTGCAGAGCACATGGCACAGTGTGTTACACAAAACTGGTTTCTTTCACTGTTCTAGGAATTAGTTATATATACATATATATACACACACACACATATATATACATATATAAAAGACAATTCTTAATGGGTGGCACAAAGTCCCTTATGGTTCATGCATGTTCTCCACTACACACTAAAGACCTTTCCTAGTACTTATTCCACTCTGACTGTAAGTTATTCTCAAAACTTGTGCTGCTTTAGAGAAAGTCTAGCTGCAAAAGTCTGATACCTGCAGCTCTGCATTGAGAGGCTGAGCATGTCTTTAGAAACGATCTGCACATCCTTTAGCGACAGAGTTGCTACTCAAAATATCCAGAGCTTAAATGCCTTCTCTCTATTTTAGCTTATTAGCCAACCCCCCCAAAGAGGCAGGTTTAAACAGGCCCAGCTGTATAGAGATAAAAGAAACAAGGTTGTATCAATGTAGCACTTCGATTAGTTTTAAAAGTCTCTGACACCACCCTTCCCCCCCCCAGGATTCTGCTAACAAGTTAGCGATTAGCTCATAGCCCTTCTGCTGGACAACTCAGGTCTCATGTTTTTACATCCTCAAGATACCTTCACAGAAAGGAGTCCTCTTTTCTCTAAATCTATCAGAGATCTCTCTTCTTTAAACCTACAAAGGAACCTATGATGCACTTAGATTTAGTACATCCTTTCCCATTCTGTTCCCAGGGCTTCCTAACTCTCACACCAGTTAGGAAACTGTGATCATCCTCCTGCCTGCAGGCTCTGTGTTTAGAAATATGAGCACAGGGGTATACAGGACAGGTTTTAGCTTCTTTTACCATCTGAGGCAATATGAAGACAGTCTGAGCATTCTTCATTTGTTCACAAATAGGTAAGGCATAACAACGTTTTCACCATTTTTTCACCACTTGCTCAGGCTTTAAGTAGAAATATTATGCATTATATAAGTGATTATATTGTATATAAATATTCAAGTATGTAGCTACATGCCATCAGGACATACTCGTAGACATTATTACTGGCTTTTGATTGAAGCCAGACATAACTACAACTGATCACTAAGGTGAACACATCCTACAGTTTTTATTATTGTTGTGATCACGGCTTAAAACTCTTAAATTATAGCTGGCAAATCTACAAGTCTATTTATCAATTAGCTCTCTTACTTTTTACCTGAAGCTCAATTTATAATAAACCTTGCCAGTGATGAGACTACTTACTGGAGAAAGTCTGAACAAGAAGTTTGTGTTAGGACATTGTCAAATGTGGCATTTTACACAATACGAGGAGACTTAATTCCTTCCTCCTCTAGTGCAAGAAATTAAAACAGACCATTCTTCAACCACAAGTCTGCCCAGCCTACATCATCAATTCCAGCAGAAAAAATTCTGAATCCAGTGAAACAAATGAAGACTCACATTGATTTAATATGCTGGGGAGTTCACTTTAAAACAGACAAAACATGGGCTTAAATCTTTCCCCAGACTCCTTATTTACAAAGATGTAGAAAGATGTGAGTGTTCCATGGTACAAGATTTCCACCAAATATTAAAAGTAAGGAAAAACGTACCTGAACATCTCGTGATCGCTCATATGCCTGATATGCCACTTTCTCCTCTATGCTGGCTAGCTCTTGTTTCAAGTTTGCTGTCTCATGTTGATGAAGATCAGTGAGGTCATTTAACTGGTCCTCCAGTCTTTCGTATCTTATTAGGAAAAGAGGTCTAAATTTAGTGCCTTCTATTCAAGAAATGCTAAATCATGAACACAATTACACATTTTAAAAGACAGTTTTTCAGTGTACTATGAATTCATATCACTGGCATTACAAAGCACATAAAGAAAATCAGTAAAAACTTTGCAAACTCTCTGTAAGCAAGCTGAAAGTCTTTTTTCAGTGTTTCTTGCTAGCAGTTGGTGTTAAGAAGCAAATATTTGTACATCACTGGAAAATTATATGAACTATAAACACTGCCTAAGGATCTCCAACTCACATTTTTCAGTTTTTCACTCTTCATTTAGACAAGAAGATATGGTTTCATAAGTAAGTTTGAGCTAGCTAACAGCTAATCAGTAATGACAAGAAAAGTATGTTCTCTCTCAAACACAACTGCAAGGTCCTGCCATTTGTGTACAGCCTGTTCTGGCATGCCTCTGCACAGCAAACCAGTTCAACTAAATCATCAGGAAACTAGAAACTTTTTTGGTGAGTTTGTCATTTGATTTAACACACAAACAGGCAAACACTGCAGTCAGCACAAAAATGATGGAGGCAAAATTGTCATGCTGCGGAAACAGGTGGTAGGAGGCTTGAGATCTTAATGGCAGTGAGCTGTCAGAAAAGGCCACTGTCTTCCCCTCAAACCAAGTCCTGTGTTCAGTAGGCCATTTGTATTGTTCTTTCCTCCCCTATGTTATGATGTGATATCAAGCCTTTCCTTGTATTTCAAGAACTGTAAACAAGGGAAACATTAAATATTGCATTTTATACTGAGTTTTTTCCCACTAGCATAGTAAAGACTTCAAGAATCGACTGTCACAAGTGATATGACAAATGAGATATCGCAGGTGTAAGTCCTCTGTAGAACATATTAGAATAGATGATAAAGTAATTAATTGCCAAGTAACAAATGCAAAAGAAAGTTGTGCTAGAGTACTTAAAATTACATCTCACAGCTGTTTATTACACCAGGGTACAAGGTGACATTGCATCCACAAGATAGCAATGTGTGTGAGAAGTATTTGGACAAGGTACTCAGGAATCAAGGGTATACTTATCAGCTGTAAGTCAGTTCTGCTATACCATAGACTGATTAGCTTTTTTGAGTCACAACAGATGAGAATCATTCCACTGGTTACAAAACAATTGGCAGTGAATACTCTATCCCCAGTACTCACATAATTCACAGTATGACAGAGGAGAGAGTTTTCTGACCAGCCTTTGACAAAAAGCAAAGGACCACTACATAATTTGATAGGAAATAGTAATATTTTAGTCACTGGAAGGAGTGGAACATCTTGGTACCAGATATTGATTGGAATTATTTTTTCCTCTTGCTTCTGAAATATTCCCCCCCCCACACACACACACTTTCCAAATAGCTCCTATACCAGTTCAAAAGTAATTTCAAGAGAACAGTTAAATAAAAATACCTAAATCTTTCCTCTTGTAACATCTGAGAAATAAAGCCATAGTCTCTTTTAAACTGTGTTTTTAAATTCTCAATATCATCAGCTAATTGGGACTGAGTCTCCTTGATTTCCCTTAGTTCCTCCAAGATCATGGAAAGCTTTCCTTGGCTGTCCAGGGTACTTGCCACAGCAGGACTAAAAGAAGTATTCCCATTACTATCTGCTGATCCAGAGGTCCCACTTGAGCATTCATCATCACTAACATATTTTGGTTTGGCGACAATGGTGGCACTGCCCCCATATGTTCTGGAACTCGTTTCTGGCCGAAATTCATCCAGGGTATTTTTGAGATGAGCAATGTTGTCTGCACTACCAAATTTGTTTCGGATCAGGTTGGCAAACTCTCTAGACTTGCTGAAAACAAAGACAGGTGGTGTCAAAGATACACCTGGTACACCCGACTTGCTGCTCTCTGTTCCATGCCCAGTGGTACGAGACTTTCCATGCTGAATATCTTTCAAGTTATCTTTGGAAGTATCCTTGGTAGCTTTGGAAGATCCATTTTGTTCAATATCCTTGAGCTTTTTGTGATACTGTTCCAATTTCTTCTGCAGTTGGGCAATGGAGTGGGCAGATTTCTGGTTCTTTTTCTCAAAGACTTGTTTAATGCGCCCAGCCTGTTGCTTGTCTGCACTGTTTACCAGTTTCAAATACTCAGCCACGTTTCCATCTCGAGCTGTTTGTTCAACCTTGATTTGCTCTGTAACCTTGAGAATTTTCTGTTTCAAGCTATCTGCACTGAGTTTGACTTTGTGAAACTCTAGGACCCCATCTGGTACATCAAAGTTCAGGTTGGTATCAGAACCTCCACGGCGAATGTTAAGCGGTAAACTCAGGGTATTCATGTCATGTCTTTCCACCTGAGAGAAAAGAGATAAATGGAATTTGAATTCTGTTTTTTTAAATCAAACTTCCAATTTCCTTTTCTGCATGTAATTATACCAAGTACACAATATAAAGTAGTTTACAGATGCAAAAGAGAATACACTTTTCTTGAAATTAAGCAGCATTTTTCTTGACTTCCATAGGTTAATAAGTAGCCCAAGGAACTGCTTGTTTCTCTTAAAATAGAAGCAAGATGAATTAGAGAGAAAATTATTCAAGTTTGCAGCTTTTCAGAATCATTCACAGTTTTCCAGAAAATTAGAATAACACCTAATTAGAAAAGGTTCTTAAATATATTGTTTATTATTAAGAGTTTCAAAGAGATCATGACTGATAATCACTCTGTTTTTTCTCTTAGAAATGGTCAAACACCAATGGAGATGTAAGCAGATTTTTCCCTCTACAACAGCTCTATAATGTTCAGCATATTTTCCTGGGTTAAATGCCTTTTTTAATATGTCCCATTCAAATTCCTCCTGCAATTCAAAGTTTTTTCATAACTAGCTGAAAGCTCTTGGAAATTTAGTGTATGCTTCAAGCTGGAAGCAGCTGCTAGTTTTTAAAGCAGAGAGCATGGAGAAAGAATTGGCCTGTATTTGGCTTTCCATGCTTGATGAAGATGCTCAACAACTTGATCTGCTGTGGCTAAGTCTATCTTAATAGCAAATTCACTGAGTGGGATTTACAGAAAGAAACTCAGGAAGGAAAACTGCATTCAGTCATGTATAGGATCCATACACCCTAACAATGCTCTCTGGAAGCACAACAAAAACAATTAAGCAACTCGTTTACAACACAAATGCAACAGATTATTCATCTTTCTTAACAGAAAGGCAAGGTAGTCTGATACAAAACACAAAGTGTTTCCTTATACAAAGTCAAAGTCATGGAAAGGGCACGACATAAGAATGATCTAACCAAAATAGCTTCATCCCTATTATCATCCTGGTTTAGCCTCTGTGACATAGAAGGTGCATTTCATTAAAGCTGCCACAATACCCCATCTGTAGAGACTGCTTAACAAATGCTCCAGCAATAACGGGTTTTCAGAGCTTTAACACCAGAGGGAACCAATACTATTGCTCAGGTAAGTCCATTGCAGAGACAAGGCAGAAGCTTTATTAAAGTATCTTTTAAACATGCATTTGTGAAACACTTCAGCTACTCTTTGCTTCAAAATGCCTGAGATACTATGTTAAAAGTTTGATTTCCAATTACAGTGTTTATTATTATCTGAAGATCATGAAGCCAGACCTATGTGTACATGTCCAGTGATCACCATTCAATCTTTTTCTTAATTAAAAAAAACCATAAGACCATCATTAAGTATTGCTTTAAAGTTTGTTCTATCCTTGAAAAGTTTGGGCGGCTCTCCTGGAAATTCTCTCAAGGTTTCTTGTATTGTCCTTAAAATACAAGTTCAGTAACCAGATAAGGTGTCCTATTGTTAATAACATGCATCGTGCAGAGATTGATCAGGAGAACAAGTCTTGCTCCGTGTCTGCCATGATGGGGTACAAACAGAGAGGGGGTAATACAGCTATAAATCTGGATCTGCACCAGACCATTTCAGAGACAAGATCATCTCTACTCCTCCTTTATATTCTTTTCCTTATAGATTACCAAGGATTACAGTGGACATTTTTCCCCGCTTTTTCTTTTGCTACTGCACCACTCAGGGCATAAACCAGGTAACATAAAAGTTCAGATTCACCAATATTTAAAAAAATATAGACACATGAAAAATGCAAACTGAAAGAGTTGTGGAACTGACAATTTCTTCTGGAGAATATTAGTTAATGATGACCTTTAAGATTCAGACTCTATTCCAAGAAGTAAACCAGAGCTGTAGCCTAACAGATTTGCACTTTACCAGTTTAGTTATTAAAAAAAAGTAAAAATAAATTTTTAAATAAAATTTTTATATTATTTAATATCACTAATCACATGTGTGTTGCAGAAAATCTACTTTATTGGTGAGATCTTAGTATTTTAGTATTTGCACAGATTTGACACACACAGATGTCATTCTATATTCAGTGTGATATCTAATATAAAGACTGCAAAAACCATGTGTCACTTTTTAACATAATAACACTCATAATACTGTTGTGGTACCTAAAATTGCCTTCAATATAAGCAAAAATAGTTTGATATTGGATACTTGTAACTTTCCAAAGGCTCAGACAGCAAAGAAAAGCAATCAAGGCAAATAGCTGAAAAGTTTACATACCAAATCTGTACCCTATATTGCAAATATTTATGTAAATGAACTTACGGGATCTAGACAAATTCAGTATGGACAAACAGCTCAGTATAAAACAATAGCTTACTGAAACAACCTAAGACATTTTTTAATAATCTTTGGCAAAAAATTATACTGTAATAAATCACCGCATTGTATACACATACAAGAAAGATCCATCACTGATGTCACTCAGGACAAGCTGTACATACTTCCAAGAATGGGTGGGTCTATCTCTAACCTTTACACAGCAGTAAGTGTTTACTTCCTTAGTACAAAATAGTCTAAATATGTATTGTAATAATTGGATACAAGCCCAAATCAGATCCCTTCTCCCTTACGTCCTCTCTCTCACTGGAGTCTCTATTGGTCAGCCTTCTGTGCCTTCCTGAAACTCCAAGGCCAAAACAGCAATAGAGATAAAAAGAACAATAGCATTGAGGGAATACATCTGCTAAAAGCTGCCTTGCTCTTGGAACGAGAAAACCAGTTAGCATGTGGAAAATCTGCTCCTGACACGAGTAAAACCAATCATAAGGTCAGTTCAAATTCAATAAACTTTAGAAAATAATAGTGTTTAAATTCACAAAACACTGCTAGCAGTAGGGTTTTTTACTTATTTGATTGAGAGATCACCAAGGGTATGGAAGAATTATATCCAATACATTTCTCTGTCTGACTGTATTTGAACAAAAAGGTAGGTGTCCTCTTGCCATCATGTTGCAAAGCTGGGTCAAGAAACAGAGGCTCTTGAAATTCTCTGTTGACATAATACACCTTTTTGTTGGAGGTGTGGGTGTGGTGTGGTGTGAGTTGTTGGTTGTTTTTTTTTTTTTGGGGGGGGGCTGGTTTGGTTGGTTGTTTTTTGGGGGTTTTATGGGGTTTTTTTGGTTTGTTTGGTTTGGTCATTTTAAATCAGTAGCAAGCAGACACTGGAGGACTCAGGTATCTCTAGACAAGTGGCCTGTCACCTTTCTTCTACCTTGATGAGGCAGAACAGTCTTGCAAAGATCCATTTGTGATTGCTTTATAGCTCAACTCTAATGCTATCCCAAGACATCAGATTTCCATCTTCAAATCCTACCCCAAATCCTTCTTGCTGCAACAGTCTCATCTTGACATGAGAAGAATTAGCTTGCATTTCCTGCTGTATCCTGCCTAGTTCTTTATACTGAGCAGAAGACTGTCAGTAGGAGTCCGAGATGCTTCCTTATCCCTGCAGGGACTGGTGCACTCTCCTGTGATGTGGACTGAAATCCTCCCACATGCAGGAGATTGAATGCACATCTCCCTCAAACTGTGTGAGCACTCTTCCAGCTGCGCTATGGGAAGAAATGATGAATGCCATCCACGTCACTGTTCTTTTTGTGACTCCTGGGTCACCAGTGTCTGACAGGGCCACAAAGCCCTCAATAATAAAAATGTTGTTGAGAGATTGATTTTCTTATTTTTATTTTTTAAGATTTTCATTGTGGTTGCCAAGAGAAAAAAATAACATACATACGGCAGCAGCTCCAACAGTTAAAATGGACCAGCCATCTTTTCAGAAGTGAGACACACTTAAAGAAGAAAGAATCATCATACATCTCTTCTATGAAAATAATTACTAGAGAGCTGGGGATTAGCAACAGATGAAAGGCAGCAGTCCTGAGACAAGTGGTACAACCAGGAGGACAGCAGTAGCCCACAGTCTGAGAAAATACCAGAAACATGCCTGGGATCTGTCTTTTAGAAAAAAACAATCTGCATTTGGTACTGGGATAGCCATAGCTGATACTAGCATGTAAGAAGAAACCTGGAGCTTGCAGAGAGACCACTGCACTTTATGGGGCAGTTCACACATACGTACTTTGCTACAACTCAGTTGAGAACTAATAGTAATGTTTGTGCTGCTGAAATACTAGCTTTTAAGAACAGTGATTTAGAAGTAAAGTAATTCAGGATCCCTGCCTGCATGAGAGCCAGGTGCCACAAATTACTAGATAGGTAACTCTCAGTGGTAACGCCCCAATCCCACTTTTTCCAAGTCAAGCAGATCCCTGGCTGCATGGCCATGCTGTTCATGAAACCCATCGCAAGCCAAAGTCCAGAGCTTCAAAAGGGATAGCAGATTAACTGCCTGGTGAAATGAACACGGGGCACTGCTAAAAACCCTTCATGCCACATGACTTGGTGGGTTTACTCTCTGTCTTAAATGGTAAGTGGAGGGCTGGGTAAAAGGCAGCCTGTCATTCAAAGAGAAGCATTCAGAGCACAATTGTGATCTGAAAACCCAATCACAGAAGCAAGGATATGGAATACATTGACATCATAATGATCAACATTTTCTCACTTAACCGTCTGCAAAAGCAACAAAGGTCAGATTTGCAGGCCCTGCTAACAATGAGCCCAGAGCATGAAAGGACCCATGTGCCCCAATGCCACAAGCAAGAGTGCTGGAAAGGGATTTCACATTGGCAGGATCTGCTGAACTGGTGAGAATATCATGCTTAACAGCCTGTGCAAATTGCCCATTATATCCTCTGGTTGGAAAATACAAAGCAGACCTAGAAGGTTACTTCTTCCCCAAAGATTCCGGGTGGGATCCATTTGGGAGAAAAAAATCTGTAGTGAATAGAGCATAGAGAGCATGCAGTGCACCCTCGTGCAGCCCATATCTCATGGCTGCTCAGATCAATCACCTCCTGTATTCTACTGACTGTGTCAATGGCTCTCCACTAACATTTGAGA